ATTCCAGCCATTCCACTTCTAGGCATATTCCCAGAAGAACTGAAAGCATCATACCACAGGGATATATGTGCACCTATGTTTATAGCAGCATAATTTGTAATCGCCAGATCTTGGAAACAACCCAAGTGTCCATCAACTGAGGAATGGATAAAAAAGTTGTGGTATTTCTATACAATGGAGTATTATTCAGCTATAAAGAAGGATCGCATTGAGATATTTATCAATAAATGGGCGCAGCTTGAGACCATACTCATAAGTGAAATAAATCAATCTCACATGTATGAATACCGAATAGTTTCCCTAATGTAAGTAATGATTCAAATATATAAAAATATGTGATAATCATGATTCCCCATTATGTGGCCTTGAAGCCTTATAAAATTTTCACTTATTAATTAGAAAGGCTTTATTCTGGGCTTTTTGATATGGAAATATTTGAAGCTATAGTATATGAAGTTTTATCCAAATATTTTAAGGAAAAAGACAGACACTATGGTAACTACTATTCTTTAAAAAAATTATTTAGCTATTTCTTATGTTTATTTTAATTAAGGGAAAAATTTAAAAAATTAGGATATATAGTTGTAACTCTTTTTGATCTCCTATTAACTTGTTTTGAAGTCCTGTAATACTCCCAAGATCTTGTTTTGTCTGATTAGACTCTGTTCCATTCTGTGCGATAGTAGCAAGTCTGAAGGTATAGGCAACTAATTTGAAGGCAATAAGATTCACAAAGATGCCCATTCTGGTTTGACTATTGTCTCCTTTGGAAGTCCTGTAATGTTCACAATGCCTAAGTTTTATTGGTCTTGTTCTTCACTGTTTTGTCCAACTTTGTAATATCTAATGAGATAGACAATTCCTTTTAAGGAAACAAGAGACAATGTTGATAACCATTGTTAATAACCTTGTACTCTGTTCTACATCATGTGCTATGTCTATCCTTGGTTTTGACTTACAGCTTTGTTTTGCCATATTTGACTATATTCTCTCCCCCCCAAAAAAGTAATAAGAACTAAGGAGTAATAAAATCCAAAATGTGTAAATTTTGTTGTAAAAAAGAGAGGAAGGGAAAAAAAAAGAGCTCTAACGGATATAACAGCAAGTGTGTTTAGGGATGTTAAATAGGTGACTATATTAATGTTTTTGGATCATTGAACACAGCTGTTTGCAGTCTCTCTGTTTGACTGTCTACTTTGTATTCTTTGATACTGTGATTTGAGCAACTATTTCCAAGATGATAATATGTAATCTATTAACAGGTGATTTCTTACTGTTATGTTTTTTTTGTAGTTCTGTATTATGTGTAACCTTACACTGCTTTGTTTTGTTTTGTGTTTTTCCCTTTTTCCTCTTAAATAAAAAAAAGAACATGGCAAAGAGATGGATGTTCAGTTGGAATATATAGATTTGTGTGTCCTTCTGAACTTCAAAGATATATAATCACATGTAGTCTCTGTCCAGGGTGGATGGCCTGTTGGGCACTTATTGGATCCACTTGGGATTCCCATTGAATGAATCAGGCAAAGAATCTCCATTAACCAGTTGGTTTCTGAATAATGAAGGAAGAACAATTGCCAGTGATGTCAAAATGAGCTGTATTAACAATTCTGCTGAAACATGCACACCATAAAATAAACTTGCTGCCATTTTTAAGTATATGTTACAATTTGTTGAGTAATTTTTAGTACACTCCCATTATTACTTGATGTCTCAAATTTCTGATGAGAAAAATAAGTCTTTCTATTCAATAAATAACAAGCCCTGAGTGGCCACTCCTTGTACTCTATAGCAATCAGATTTCTGGTTTCTGTTTTTATGAATGTGAGTAGTGCAAGCATTTCACATTAAGTGAAATCATATACTAATTCTGCTTTTGTGATGGGCTTATTTCATTTAGTTTAATGAGCTCACGATTAATCATTGTTGTGCCATTTGTTAGAATTTCATTTCTGTTTGTGTAATATTCTGTATTGTATATTTATCATTTGATTATGCACAATAGACATTTGCATGCACAATAGATATTCTAGTTTTATGAAAACAGTTATTCAAGTATCTACTTTGGCTACCTGCTAAAGACATTGTACTAAATTCTCATTGTTCTTCTTTTCCATTTTTTTTATTTAAAGAAACAAAGAAAAGAATATTTACCCAAAAAAGAGGAAAAAGTAGAATAATACAGAATTCAAAAACAACTGTAAAATCTCTAGTTGATACATTACATACTTTCATCTCAAAAATAGTTGTTAAAGTTACAAAATCAAAGCATAAAAAGTGGTTCGATACTCAAATATTGACAATGCAAACCCTTATGTTTAACGATCTAACAGAAACTTAGCAATATGGTCATCTATCTTACACACTATACCATTATATATTTTAGAGCACTTTCCTTCCCTTTCACTTTTACAATATCTATCCTACTTTTTGGATCTCATTATTCTGTCAGTTTTTATTATTTTTTACACTGGAGAGACAATGTGATATTAATTAATGTGAGTCTTGTTTATTTCACCAATGAAAATATTCTCAAGTAGCTTCCATTTACCTATAAAGGTCACAAGACTATTCTTTTTTATAGCTGAGTACCAATCCATTTTACCAAATACCTCATTGTTTTCATTTTCTCTGCAATTCATGGGAATTTGATTGTTTCCAAGATTTAGCCTTCACAAACTGTGCTGCTATGAACATGTAAGCACATATGTCACTGTGACGTTACCTTTTCAATTTTTCTGGAAAAATATCCACTAAGGGAATGGTTGGGTTGAATGGAACCTCAAATCCTACTTTTTTGAGGAATCTTCATACTGAATTACCCAGTGGCTGCAACAGTTTACAGTCCCACCAACAGTGGAGCTGTGTTATTTTTCCCCTGCAACCTCATCAACATTTGTCATTGGTTGATTTCTTGATGGCAGCCATTCTTTCTGGGGTGTGATGAAATCTCAATGCTGTTTTAATTTGCATTTCTTGAATGACCAGGGATGAACATTTCTTCATGTATTTATTTGGCATTTGTATATCTTCATCTGAGAAATGTGCATTCATCCCAGATGCCCATTTTTAGATAGGGTATTTGATTTTGGGAGGCATTATGCTTTCAATTTCTTATATTCTGTTCTGAATATGTCACTTGTCTGTGGGGTTGCTGGTTAAAATTCTTTCTCATTCTATGGGTTTTCTTTTCACACTCTTTTTGATTTCTTTTGAAATGCATAAACATTTCAATAACATGAGATCCCCGTTGTTGATCCTTTGAAGTGTTTCCCATGTAGTTTACATTTTGTTCATGAATTCTCTGCATACCACTATGTCTCCAAAACTTCTATCTACCTTATCTTCCAGTAAATTTAGTGTTTCTGTTTTAATGGAAGTGCTCAGGTTGACTGTTCTTAATTTCTGAGTGCTATGTGGCTTCCAATGTCATTCTTTACGACATCAACTCCATTACACTTATTAAAATTCCAGACTCTGCTTTAGTAATCCCTTGTCACATATTTGTGGTAAATTTGATGGTCTCGCTGAGCTCCCGTTTCCCTACGTAGCAGTTGAGCTATATCCTCTTGTCTGCATGCAAATGACAGTAGGCACTATTCCTTGCTTCACAGAGTACTGTATATCTTCTGATACAGTGGGAGGTTTCCATTCATCTGAAGGGTGCTTGAAGCCCAGAGACATCACATTTTTCATGACCTACTCATGATCCTGTTTCTTTATCTGATTTGGATAAGTCACTGTTAATGTATGATCTTCCTTCACCAAAACTTGAACACATCTTTTAAGTATTTTCAGTAAACTTCATTTGGTTCCATGTTTTTAAACATAGAAAAAGTTAGAGGAACTCATCTGTTAGATGCAGGTGTGCAATACTATAAATTTTGAGGATGAAACATGTGTACTAATAGAAGTACAAGGCCATTCTGGTCTACATAGTTAGACTCTGACTTAAAAAAAAAGAAAAAAAAAACCTCAAAAAATTGGGGCCAGGGATTGCAATTCAGCAGCACAGTGTCTGGCAAGCAGGAATGCCTGAGTTGAATTTCTGGTACAGGGAGAAGGGTAGTCTGCAAATAGTGGTACATGTCTGTAATCCTAGCACTTGCAAAGCAGAGGCAGAGAGATCACTGTGAGTTCAATGCCAGCCCAAACTGCTTCGGCAAACCATGCCTCAAAAGATGAAAAAAAGTGCTGGATAAGTCAACTGTGGTGGAAAACACCTCCTAGCTCTCAGGAGGCTGAGACAGACAGTACTACAATTTTTGTTGATTGAATAACTGAATGTGCCACTTCAATTCTTCATAGACCTACACCTGACCCCAGTGCAGCTTTGTCAATGCGGTTCTTTATCACAGTACCTGTAGCAAAGCCTTTTACTCTGAAGGAAAATGAGTGACATGCTCCATGCTTTATTCCTTGTCTGGTCTGCAGAGCACATTGCAGGCATGTGCTGCACCAATAAGAACCACAGGCAGTTTATGATGCTGTTTCCTTACTCACTTTGGGGAAAGTTATCATGAAAGTATCCTAATTATTCTCTAAAGACTTCTAATGCAATCTCTGAGCATTACAAACATTACATTGCTGAAAGGGAAAAGCATTCTTTCAAATCACACAGAATCACCTGACAGGAGGATGAGCACTATTTTTGTGGTGTTAGTTCCAGCAGTATATACTGCTGGAAGCTCTGGAAGGCACTTGAGAGTAGCTCTGTATATTACAGAAAAAAACAATAGCAAATCCCTTGACCACCTGTTCAAGTAACTGGCCATGAAAATAAATAGATAATGGACTCTGTGGTCCAAAAGTTAGTTGCACTGAGCCATTGTGAAGTCATTCAAAACACCAACAGGTTTTGAGTTCAGTGATGAGAATTGGATAACCATTAACAAATGCACGGACACAGAAATATGGGCATATTTTTACATTTTCAAAAACATGTTACTTTTTAATAATTTTAGATACATAGGGAAAGCTGTGAGGAGAGCACATGGAGCTTTCTTTTTTTAAAGTGAATATACAATTTATTTAATATTCAAACTTCATTGAGACATGTGCAATATGGCAATTTTACTGGGGGTTTAACCCTACCTAGAATATGATTGCTTGCTGGGGTTTAGCAACAGGGTCCAGTTCACACTTAGCACTAATTAAATACTTTATTGAATAAATACAATACCAAAACAAAATGCATTCAAATGCTTCCTTTAAAAAAATCAATTTTAAAGGCCTTTCTATCCAGGCTAAAGACAAACATAATAAAGGCAGATATGCTAGTTTAACATAATTGGCTGATTTTATACAGCACTTATATCTTTTAGTCCACAATATATTATTAAATGATAGAGAACATCTAATACAACCATTTCCACAGAACTAGGAAATAAATTTCTAAGAAAGAAAGGTTTTACAGACCCCATCTTTTTATACCCACCCCAACAGTCTAACTCTAAAGAGGATAAAGCCAATGACTTTCCTCACGAGAGCTCATGACTAATGTCGCTTTGCTATCAAAATCTGTATTTCTGATCCGTTATGAGCATTGAGACAAGATTCAAAAATTCCCAAAGCAGCACAATGCACTTTGTGATTGCCTATTCAGCAACAGCGAACACTGCATTCGAAACTCTCATCCCAGGAATTAAATAAGGTCGGCCACATTCATGGGCATTTCCTCCACTGTAGTATTGTAGAAAGTCTCAATGTCACAAAGAATCCTCTCGTCTTCTTCAGTAACAAAGTTTATAGCCACACCTTTCCTCCCAAATTGACCCCCTCTGCCAGTTATGTGCATGTAGTTTTCACGATTGGTAGGTAGATCATAGTTTATAACCAAAGACACTTGTTCCACGAGCCAACAAGTCAGTAGTGATCAGAACACGGCTGGACCCTGATCGGAATTCCCTCATGATAACATCTCTCTCTTTCTGATCCATTTCACCATGCAGAGCAGAAACTGTGAAGTCCCTGGCATGCATTTTCTCAGTAAGCCAATCCACTTTGCGCCTTGTATTGAGAAAAATAACAGCCTGCATAATGGTGAGTGTCTCATACAAATCACAAAGTGTATCCAATTTCCATTCCTCTCTTTCAACATTAATGTAGAACTGTTTGATTCCTTCAAGGGTCAGTTCTTCTTTCTTCACCAGAATCCGAATTGGATCTCTCATGAATTTTTTGGTCACTTCCAACACATCAGTTGGCATTGTGGCAGAAAGCAACACAACCTGAATACTTGTATTTAGTTTTTGGAAAATCTCATAGATTTGATCCTTAAACCCTCAGCTCAACATTTCATCTGCTTCATCCAAAACAAACATTTTGATCCATTTTGGAGAAAGGTATCTTCTGTTTAACATATCAAATACTCTCCCTGGTGTTCCAACAACAATGTGTGGTGCTTCAGCCTGCAGTTTTTGCATTTCATTCTGAACATTTGTTCCACCAATGCAGGCGTGGCAAGTTGCTCCCATATAATCTCCAAGTGCCAGAATTACCTTTTGGATCTGTTGAGCCAGTTCTCTGGTGGGGGCCAATACTAGTGCTTGGGTCTCCTTGAACTCAATCTCCAACTGTTGCAGGATGGAAATAGCAAATGTGGCTGTCTTGCCAGTACCTGACTGAGGCTGAGCAATCACATTATATCCTTTGATACAAGGGATAATAGCTCTTTGCTGAATAGCTGAAGGCTTCTCAAAACCGTAAGCATAGATGCCCTGAAGAAGTGATTCCTTTAAATTCATATCATCAAAGTTATCAACAATCTCATTCCAGTTGCTCTCGATGACACCATCGGGGTCCATTCCCTCTGGGCCTCCATGTTCTCTGTTATAATCTGTAGAACCACCAGACATGATCCGAGAAACCACTCAGTGCCTGATTGAAAAGACCTGGAGCTTTCATCTAACCATTCTTTATTTAGATTTCCTGTTTCCTCTAATGCCTGTTTTGCTCCAGTATCCCACCTGGGAGATCACAGAAGTCAGTAACCACTCACTATGACTTCTCAGGCTTCCTTGGTTTTGATGGTGACTGAGATTTTTTTTTTTTTTTTTTGCGTTGTTTTTGATGTCCTTGAAATTCTTCTGGAGTACAAACCAGGGATTCTGTGAGTAGTTTTATACTGAATTTGTGGATGTGTTCCTTATCACTGCCCGGAGAGGAAGGCCACAAATAGTGAATGAAGCTAGAGTGTAGCTCAAGATTGAGACCAATTAAGGATACTGTAAAGGGGGTGAGACTTCCTGAGTGTCCTCAGATGCCTACATGAAGGTCAGAAATGGTCCTTATCTGCCAGAAAGCCCGGCAGCAACCTGAATCATGGGTGCTTACTAAGTGGGAATAACTATGTTCAATTTTTTAGCTTTAAAAAAAGTAAAACAGATTTTTTGAGTGGTAGATTGCAGTTACAGCTCAGTGGTAGGGTGTGTGCATATTTGGGTGAGACCTCTGATTCCATTTCCAGGACACATACAAAAAAATTAACATTGAAGCCCACTAGTTATCAAGAAAATATAAATAAAGACACAATGAGACTTTTATGCCTGAAAAGGTGAGAAGTTTAACTGAAGATATAAAGATATTATATTTAAGAAGTTTTGAAAGCAACTGTAATTTTTAATTTCTATTTTCATTTGTTTCATGTTATTTGGACTTGAAGGTTTCTACCACTGAAGTAGAAACCTAAAGGTAGAAAAGGTAGTGGCTTTTACCTTTAATTTTGAAGCAGGGTCTCACTTAGTTGCCCACATTGGCCTTGAACTTGTGTTTCATCTGTCTTAGCTGCTTCAGTAGCTGGAATTTTTGGCATATGTTGTAGTTTATAAGTAGGCAACTCTTTCACTCTTAGGGAGTTCTTAGGGATTTGAGGAGGTGACTGAACAATGGGGCTTTTACTTACTTTCTCATATGAAGTGGGGTCTTATCAGAAGATGCAGGTAACTGAGGATATGGATTGGAATGCTCATCACACTCTCTATTCATGTCTGCCACCTGGCCACTATCCCACAAGCCACTATCCCTCTGCAAACTCCCTCTACCACTCCATCACCCACCTTCAGAGTCATAGGAGTATGAACTGAATCTTCTTACAAAGTGTGAGCCAAAATGCAACTCTTCTATGTGGTGTTGTGGGTTTCTGGTATTGGGTCTGACTGAGGAGAATGTTACTGAGAGAGAATGGCTCATCTTACTGCTCTTACTCCTTGCTGATGAGTTTTCACACTGAAAAATACTGGAAACTGAAACCAATGGGAGAGGAGGCTGAAAACAAATGGCTGAAAAAAAACAATTTTTTTTCTCTCTGAACTTTTTCTTTTCTTTTTCCTCTTTGTTCTTTGTTCTTTCTCTTTCTTCATTTCATCATCTCTTCTTTTCTTTTCTTTCTTTTTTTCTCTTTTCTAAATGCATGCTGAAAAGTCAGTCATAGAAACTTAACCTTAATCCCCATACCCAGAGATGAAGTTCAGATAAATCCTTGAATAATCCATTCCTTTTATCTACCAGCTTCTCCACTTTCCCAAACTTTGCATGACCAACTTTTGTCCCCCAGCCTTGCTCTTACTTGCTTCCCTGTTATCTTTGTTTTATAAACTGTTTTCCTTGTATTTCTCTGTGACATGATAAAACAACTCCACCACGGGGAAACACTTTGTATGCAAATGCCACATTTATGATCGGTTTTGTTCTATCACTATAGACTTCACTCCTTTGCTCTAAAGTACAAAATCAATAGTTTATCAGTTGATAGTTAGGGCTTGATGCGATAGTTATTGCCAATTTTACTACATTTGCTAAGAAGCTATATGTCTTGCAATCAGTTGTGCTCCCTTCTGTAAAAACACTGGGGGGCTCTAGAGTATCACATCCCTACACCAAAAGACTGCGGACTGAGCCAAAATAAAAACCTCAAAACCGTCCCACAATAAATAAGTTGGGATGTGAAAAACACAAACCAAGAGTTTCTTACACATGGAAGCCATCCCTGAAGAAAAAATTTTTCCTGGAGGTACCTTGATTCTGGTAATATAGCTACCTACTACACAAACTCACAAGGAACAACACAGAAACCAAAATAAAGGCATTCCCATGGTGTGTTCTCACTGGCTGCATGGAGGATCTGAGCTCTGCCCAGTCCAACATTACAGCACACTCCATTGAAGAAATTCTGACCCAGCCTCATAATTAACAGAAGTACTGAATCCTACTTATTCCTGAGCCCTGGAGCCACTCCTCATGGAGTGAGCAGCTTAGCCCATGGGTTCTTGAGAACTAGTGCTCTTCCCAGAAGAACACAAGCACCCAGTGCCATATTTCAGTGATGCATCCCAGCTAGCCATGTGCATTCTGGAGATTGTGAACTCTACCCAAACAGGAACAAGGCCCACTTCACCATACTCTAGAGTTGTGCAAAGGCTAGCCAGTTTGTCCAGAGGCTCTGAACTCTACCCAGCCAGGTACAAGGCACCAGCAGCATGATGCTCTAGGGGTGCAGCCCTACTAGCCACCTGTGCCATGGAGATTCTCAACTCCACCCAACTGAAAACAGGCCCTGGAGACTCGGTAAGTGGATCACTGCTAGTCACCCGTGTCTCAGAGGTTCTGAACTCCACTCAGCCAAGAACAAGGCTTCAGTGATACATTCCATAGGTGCAATCTTGTTAGCTGTATGCATCCGAGATGATCTCAGTTACATATCACTTAATACATAGCCCTGGTGACAACTCTGGTGGCATCACTTCTACCTGCATGGAGGATCCAAGCTCTGCCCAATGAAGTGTTCCAGTGCAAGCCAACACAATCAATAAGGGGAACACCTGGCCAACCTCACCATTCACAGGAAACAAGGCTCAGTAGCCACAATTCAAGGATGCACCCCATCTAGTCATGAGGATAACAGAGGAGTGAATCTGTCCCCACTGCAAGATTCCAGTGCAATACATTACACATGTGCCTGGCCAGTCACACTGGTCCCACATGAAAATGACAAAATGAAAGCATAAAATTCAGTTTCAGTCCTGCAGCAAACCAAGACCAACTCCCAGAGATACTAAAATTGAAGGCCCTGGAAATTGCACAACGGAACTTTCTGAAAAGATAGCAACTGAAGTAATGAAATAACTCCATGGAGCTATAGAGGAAACCAAATCAAAAATACTCTCACAGGTAATAAAAGAAATGAGAAACATGAAAGAAATGTTCACAGTGTCTAAAGAAGAGCTCAATAAAAAAGCAGAGGAACATAACAAAATGAAGGAAACCTTGAATGAACAGTAAAAGCCAGAAATATAATGCTTGAAAAAGATTCAAAGGAATATTTAAAAAATTTAAAAATTCATTGAAATATGGAAAAGCTGCTTGGAAGAAGCTAAAGATAGACTCATAGACTTTGAGATCAGGATGAAACCTTATGACCATGAAAGAAAAAATCTCTTAAAATATTAAGGAACTGAGAAATAATTAATCAGCAGCAAGATGATGCAAAGAGTAACCATATAAAGCTGAAAGGTATTAGTGAAAAATCAGTGCTCAACACAATCATGTATGAAGGCTATTTACAGAAATCAGACAAGAAAATTTTCCAAATATGAGAGAAGAGTCTGATATACAGATAAATAAGGCATATAGAACCCCAATTAGCTGTAATCAAAATAAATATTCACCCATACATAATAATTATGATATCAGGAATTTAGCACAAGGCCAGAATACTATAAAGTGTCAGAGAAAACAAACACATCACCGGTAAAGGAAAGTATCAGAATCACAGCATTCTTCTAAACATAAACCTTCACGACAAAAAGAGCTTTTATTGAAGTGTTTTGAGTCCTGAAAGAAGACAAATTTCAATCCAGATTTATGTACCTTGCAAAACTATCTTTAAAATTATATGAAAAGTAAGATACTTCCATGACACAGAGTAACTGAGGAAATTCATTATCACCCACATAATACTACAAAGAGTAGTGAAAGATATTCTAGAAAGAGATAAAGATAGCAACAATTCCAAGAACAGCAGCAGAATAAAATAACTAAGAAGGGAAAATAATTAAATGGAAAGAGTAGAAAACAAAAAACAGGAAGATAGCACAACAGGGGACATCCAGTACATCTCTGTCATTTCCACCAATGTAAATGGTCTCAACTGACCAATAAAAAGAAACAGTCTATCGGATGGATTAAGAAACAGAATGCAACAATATGATATATACAAGAAACATTTAACTCAAAAGAAAACTAATAGTTTAAAAGTTAAAGGATGGAAAAAATATTCCATGTGACATAAATCCAGAAAAAAGTGGACATAGCTATTCTGTTTACAGACAATGTGACCTTACAACTAAGAATGTTCAAAAGGGATAAATGTCACTATATACTTGCTATGGGAAAATTTGAAGAGTAAGAGATTGCAACTATAAATATATATGCATCAAATATGGGAGCACCCAACTATATAAGACAAATCTTAGTAGACATGAAAAATCAAATAAGTAATAGTACTGTTATAAAAGGGGAACTTAACACCCTGTTGTCACAAAGAAACTGACAAACAAAACAGAAGTTCAGCAAAGAAATATCAGAATTGAATCAAATTGGTGGACAAATGGACCTAGTAATTTCATCCCAAATGTTGAACCTTACATCATCAAAATACACATTCTCAGGTGTACATGAGTCATTGTCTAAATAAAACCATATTATATCCACAGAACATGCTTAAATAAATGCAAAGGAATTGAAATATTCCTATACATAACTGATATGACCCAATAAAATTGGAAATTGATACAAAGTCCCACAATTACCACATAAACACATGAAAATTAAATAATACTTTCCTAAACAATCAATGGATCACATAAGAAATTAAAGAGTTAAGTAAATAT